AAAGTTTAAATGAAATTATTAAAGAAAAACGAACAAATTCTCACAACATTTTGCAAACAATGACTGCAATGACTAAAATCGTTGGAAATAAAAATATTTGCGAAACAGGCAATCGCACATATACAAATATCTACTCAACTCAAGAAAATACCTAAAAAGTTAATAGAAAAAATAAGAATAAATTCTACACACATTGTGCTGTTTTAACTACATTTATGTATACTCTATAAGATTCGGGTAAACGTCATACGTGATGATTCAATAAGAGACGCAAAAATATCGTATATTACAAAACATTTACAGCATATTGTACAACGCAGAAATAAGAATCAGACGACTGTTTTCTGATCTCTTCCGCGCAAACCTCAAATGAGAATCAGTGACTTTCGAAGCACGTATATAGAGTACGTTCATTGCCTTACTGCCTACCATACTATGAAAGCAGAGTAGAAGCGTGTTGAATGCAAGGGAACAATGACTAACGCGAGTCAATTTAGCCGCTTATTTAATTATCCATTAAATATGATAACTCATCGTTTTATCGTTTAAAAGAATAAATAAACACTAACTTACCGATTTTTAAACTTGACATATTTCTGCATACAAGCTTCGAAATTTTACGTCGTTATACAGCTTGTTTTCCCCCACCCCAGGCCGCAGCCATGAACGGTAGCGACTAGAACGTATGTATAGGGGATTGAATCTTTATGGGGAATCGGGTCGAGCGAAGGAGGGAAGTAGAAATTAGGGAAAGACAGCACGACTCGTAAAGAACTCCATCCAGTAATAGCTTTTATCCACCGCTGCGCTGTCAATAACCACTACACACCAAAGTACGCTATCGCCACTTTTATCCACTGCGTTAATCTTCTGAAATCTGAACAATGTGTAGACTAGTTCTATGTGAATATCGTCGTATTTTGTATTTTTATGCACATATATTCGTTTATACGACTCCTCCCGCAAAAGGAATAGACCCACCCTTAATCCAAAGACATCGAACAACCATGCGCGCTACTGAGACCATTGCCTCTGTTAAACTTGTATCTAACGCGATGCTGGCGCCATGTTATGGTGTAATATGTAAATTAATACCTTTAACTTTAAGCATACTAGAAATCAAACTCTTCTCAGAATCTCTGATCTTGATGTTACCAAACTGAATGACTTTGATATCATAAAAATATACAGCATTGTTATTTGTTTAAAATGGTACGTATTTCTTTCCTTTTTCTAAACTACCGAATGAAAGAAAAAGAAAAGACTGCATAAAATTGGAAAAGTTTGGTAGCTTGGCGAGATATTTGAAACGATATTATTATTTTAGAAAATAATGTTTAATATATATACATTGCTTTTAGAAGTTTAAAACTAATTTTATATGGATCTCACGTGTGTATTAATAGGTTCGAAACCATTACTTTTCTTGCAGTTCAAACAACTTAAAACAATTGCCATCATTTAAATATATAGCGTTGAAGCTAAGTTCATGGTGTATAAATTTCTTTGTGAGAGTTTCGTCTGTGAAAGAATACTTTCTGTTCCTATGGTGGTAATCGATACATACATATGTACAATAATGGGTCCTACTTCTGCACACCTCTAGGCCGCAGCTTGATCCGTTAGCGAGGTTCGACATAGAAATTTTCATTGCTCTAATTGGCTGACTATTCAATACCAAAACAGGATTCATTGCGGATTGGATGCCCAGTAAAATAGTGGGGATACCTGTGAAAGTTAAGTGAGGTAGAAAAATTGTGCAAACCTAAGGTATTATTGATATTAACTTGTTTAGTAATTACCACATATGTTTGTTAATACGTACATTGTAAAATGAAACTAGCTTTGCGTATATAATCGGTAGCACCTGTTTTGGCTTAACTATTTGCAATATACATATATATTTTAGTCATGAAACTACACCATAATAATTAAGCTCCTTTCACAAATAGCCTTGCGAAATCTGAGATTTTCTCTTAAACATGAGAAAGTTAACAACACTGCTACTTAAGGTGTAAGCGGATACTAATGATGAGTGACACATAAACGATTAAAGACTTTTAACTCGCGAGTGTTTAACATATGCTCATTATAATTTTACATCTTAATGTGATTACATTAAAGGAATTTAATGATTTCAAAAAGTAAAGTATGTAAAACAAATGCAGTTCATAAAAAATAATAAACATTTACTCGAAACTACTGCTGAGATTTTATTAAATTATTCAGCACTATACGATATTTTTTTAATATCTGCATATAATTGATGATAACATGTTGCATTTAATGAATACAAATTTCGTAGAAGTCCTGTGTTGATATTATATTATATTATATATTTCGAAACAATGGACAACCTTTCTGATTCATTTAAAGGGGATGTAGATTCCTTTACGTCAACAGATTCTTTGCAATTAATAACAGATGAATTTCGCATTAGACATTTGTCGACACCTGATGTATCTAACACAGAATTGTCAAAACGTGTTGCATTATTGGAATTAGAAAATGAACGACTTAGAGTAGATTTGGAAAATCTACGTATTGAACTTAGTGCTAGAATTGCAGCAAATGAAGGACTTAAAGGAAAAATTATAGAGTTATATGTAGAAATGCAATCAGTACTCCAAGAGAAGCAAAAAGTACAAAATACTTTAACTGACACATATAATCGTTTAGAAGCAGCTGAAGTATCAGCAAAGTGGTATCAATCACAAGTGCATGGATTGCAAGCAAGTAAAAAAACTTTGCAATTAGAGATCGACACTTACCAAGGAATATTGCAACAAAGACAACAAACTATAGTAAATATAAATGCAAGGTATAAACAATTAGATGTGGATTATACTGAACTTCTTCAAAAATATCAAAAAGAGAAACAAGGTTTAGAAAATGAAGTACAGAGCTTAAAAACACAAAATCATTCAAACGATCAATTATCAAGTATTTCACAAAGCATAGATAACAATGCATCAAGTACTCCTCCAGATACATCTACAAAGTTAGAGATGGCAGAGGATGAACTACGAGAAACAAAAGCAGAGCTGAAGACTTTAGAAAAACGTCTTTTGGGTAATGAAGTATCCAAAATGTTAATGGAGAATGCCTTAACTAAACAACGTTTATTGATTACAACAATGGAAGAAAATATACAAAAATGTGAGACTGAGAAGAATCAAACTGCTGATACTTTGCGCAAAACTGAATTTGAAATTCAAAAATTGAAATCAGAAAATGAAACATTGCAAACTACTCTACTTTCTTCCAAACAGGAACAATGTCAGATAGAAGATGCAATTTTTCAGTTACGGCTGCAATTAACAAAAATGATTGCACAATATAAGCTTTTAAAATCAAAAAATATAGAGGCAGAGGAAAAATTAAATTCAATGCAAGATGTAATAAATGAAAATAAACGCTTAAAAACCTTATCATATGAAGCTAACTCTGCACTCATCAGAAAACTTCGACAAGAAAAACGTAAATTTAAAAACTTGGAGAATAAAATATATGATGTAGAAATAAAAGAACGATTAGATGACATGGTAATAAATGCTGTCATCCAACTTATTGAAGTTTAAAATTATTTATAATGATCATATTATTATTTTGTTTTAGCAAAATAAAACTGAAGTTTCCTTACGTGAATGTCTAAAGCAGGTTTTAATAAGAAATAAGGTAATGTTTGTGTTTGTGTACGTGTGTGTGTGCGCGCGCGTGCATGTATGTATGTATGTATCTGTGTATATGCATTACGTGATAATAAAGAGTATTTTACTTAATAGGATTTAAAAGACCAATTGAAGACACAGAGGAAAACTTCAGATGAAAGTATTGATGAGGGGTATGGTGATATTAGCATAGTTAGTTCCATTTCTGTAGACATTCCATCACCAAGTTCCATTAATCCAGTATTATTAAATAAAGCTTCTAGTATTCTTTTGAGAAGTAAAGACTTTTGTAAACCAGTGCAAACAGAACTTGATTATTTACGATTAAAACTTAACAAACTA